GACATTGTATTATAAAGAATTATTTCACTTTTCTTTATCTTCTTTCTCTTTTGGGGGTGCTAGCTTGTTGGACATATCGGCATCGCAACAGAGGTCACTTTTGATGTGTGTCAGGGAACTCATTGTCCAATAAGTTGCTGTTGTCGTTAGGTGCTGTCAAATTGGCTTTGACCCATAGGACCCTATACAAAACAGAACGAAACACTGCCCGGTCATCCTCACAACTACTGCCACAGTGCCAATCCATCTAGCTGGATTCTCCATCAAGAGGGCAAAGCTCTTAAAGAAGGATCAGTAACTAAAAAGGTCTGCAGCTTCCTGGGGTTCCAGAGGTAGGGAGAGGAGGGGCAAAAAGGGAGAGCACAGGGCATTTTCAGTGCAAGGAAGCTCTTCTGTAGGATAATACAGTGGTGGGCACCTGAGATTATGCGTTTGTCAAAATCCACAGAAATGTCTGACACAAAGACATTTTTGTCTGACACAAAGACTATATTGTCAACTATGGACTCTAGTTAATAATAATGCACCAATAATGGTTCATCAATTATAACAAATGCACCACATTAATGCACGTTGTTAGTAATAGCAGAAGCAGTGTGCTAAGGGAAAAGGGAGCATATTCAAATTCTCTGTATTTTTTGTTCAATTTTTCTGTACATCTATAACTGCTCTAAAAAACAAAGTCTATTTTTAAAGACGAAGAAAGAAAAATAAAGAAAGTTAGCAACATCTGTTGAGACAAGCTGACCATTGTTAACTGAATCCTGGTGCGACGCTGTATCTAGAATAAGCACTGGACCGAAAGGTTGAACAGCAAGGCGGGCAGTTCAAAACCACTAACCACACCTGGGAAACCCTATACAGGGTTGCTATGAGTCAGACCTGACTCGACAGCACTTAACCAACAGGTAAGTGGGAAATTCGAGGAGCTCTGGTAGCGTAGTGGTTACGAATAGGGCTGCTAACCTCAGGGTCAGCAGTTCAAAACTACCAGCTGTTCTGCAGGAGAAAGATGAGGCTTTCTGCTCCCATAAAGATCGACAACCTCGGAAACCCTGTACAGAGTCGCTATGAGTCAGAGCCGACTCCACGGCACATAACTACCAACCCCACCAAGTGAAAAGTTCTGAGGACACAGACTGAATTAGGTATTGCCTTTTCTTTTATGGAAGGAGGGCCTTAAAAAACATCTAATCACTTCTTACTCTTGCGTGAAAGGGAGATGAGTCACCAAATATGGCTTGACTTGTGAAGCCCACCACTGAACTCTAGACATTGGAGGTTGGAAGACCAATACCAACATTTAACAGACAAAATGAAATCCACAAAAGTGCAAGAATGTAGGTAAGAGAGCAGGGTTGGGACTGGAACCTGAATTTCCTGCTTTCTAATCCAGTGCCCTTTGTACAGTAAGTCACAGGGTTACAAATGTCCTGTGTACGGAGAACTTAGATGTGCTCTTCCCCACTGCTGTCAAGTAGACAAGAGTACAACTGCTGTCAATCTTCCCAGAAGCCAACTGTCACATCTGTCTCCTGTGGAGCAGCTGGTGGGTTCAAACTGCCAATCTCTTGGTCATTAGTCAACTGTTTTAATAACTTAACAAGCCCTCACTGCCATCCAGTCGATTTCATAGTGACTCTGTATCGGGTTTCTGAGATTGTAAATCTCTACAGGAGCAGAGAGTCTCATCTTTCTCCCAAGGAGTGGCCAGTGCGTTTGAAACACCAACCTTGTGGTTAGCAGTGCAACGCCTACCCACAATGCCACTAAGGCTCCTAGGTGGTGATGGTGGTTGTGTGCCCTAGGTTTGTTCCCTTCACTTGACCTTCCATGTTATGTAAATCTAACTTCACTTTGAAACAAATGAACCAATTCCTACTAGAAACAATTCTTCATCACAAAGACCTTCACTTGCTTTGAGTACGGTTTTTAAATCCTTGAAAAGGCTTTTTTCTTTACCCAAAAAACTCACTGCCTTTGAGTAAACTGGCTCACAGCGACCCCATATAAGGTTTCCAAGACTGTAAATTTTTACAGGAGCAGAGAGCGTCATCTTTCTCCTGAGTTGCCACTGGTGGTTTTGAACTGCTGACCTGCCAATTTGCAGCCCAATTCCTAACCCAAAGCTCTATCATCGTTCATTTTTATCTAAATAAAATAAGTCTAAATAAGAACGGTATGTACCTATTCCAACTTACCTACAAAGTTGACTTAAAGACACTCTTAGAAATGGATCTAGTTTGTAACCAAGAGACTGCCTACCTGTATGAGGCAGCTTCAAAAAGTTCATGGGAAAAGTCCCATTATCTTTTAATTCCATTTTTCCATATTACACTACTCTCTTAAAATTCAGTGTTCTCTCATCTCATTCTAAGGTCTTCCCATAATAATACCCAAACCAAACCACTGCTGTTGAGTTGATCCATCTCATAGCAACCCTACAGTATAAAGAAGAACTATTTCATAGGGTTTTTCCATGGTTGTAAATCTTTATGGAAACAGACTACCACATCTTTCACCCAGAGTGGGCTGGTGGGTTCGAACCACCAATCTTCCGGTTAGCGACCAGTTGCTTTAGCCAAGGTACCACCAGGGCTTCTTCCCGTAGTAAACTTGTACCCGAGCACATTCATTGGACTCAGATTCATTGAGTCCACACCCTCTGTTCTTCTCCCTTTATATTTAGTCTTTCAACGAGTCTACTTACTAATGCAACAGATCATTCTAAATGTATATTGAGTACTTACTATGGTGTAGGCAGTAGAAAGACTACCAAACCTAGCCAAGCATACGTCCTACTTCTGAAGAATTTATTTAGATATAGTATTCTTAGATCCAAAGTTATATATATATAATGCCTCATCACCATTCAATTAAGTTTTCTAATGGAAATCTCTTTTTTTGGTCCTTAATTGGCAAGGCCCACATGCAAATATCTTGAAAGCATTTCTACTACTCTGACTTGAAAGTGAGAGTATTTGGTTTTTAATCTTCGCTCTATCATTTGCCAATTATTTTTGAAACCTAGGGTAAATCGTACTTCTCTGGGCTTAATATCTTCAGTCAGTAAAAGTAGGAAAGTGTCGATCTTCTGTGAACCACCTTCCTTTACAAAACTAAGCACAGTCTATTTATTTTATTTCATTTCATTCTGTGCCTTTCTCTTGGTTTTCTATCTCCTCTGCCTTGCTCATCATACCTATGGTGAATCTCTGGATCTTAAGTGAAGAGGTGATGAAAATAATTTTAAGCAAGATTTAGTGTAGCTATATATAGGTTAAACTAGAAGCTAGAAAGTAATTCAGAAGCCTTTTAGAATAAAGGAGTCCTTGGGTGATACATGTTTGGTACTTTGAATATGCTGTCAGAAGGGACCAATTCCTGGAGAAGGACACCATGCTTGGTAAAGCGGAGGATCAGTGAAAATAAAGATGATCTCCAGTAAGATGGACTGACACAGTGGGTTCAAACATTACAATTGTGAGGGCCAGGCAGTGTTTTGTTCTGTTGTGCATAGGGTCACTGTGAGTGGGAACCAACCGGATAGCACCTAACAGCAGACACAAATAGGGGGTGCACTTAAATGCTCAGCTGCTGACCTAAAAGTTGGAGATTTGGGTCCAGCCAGGAGCACTTAGGAAGAAAAGTCTGGCAATCTGGAAATTTGGAAAACCCAATGGAGCACAGGTACTACTCTAATACACAATGAGTGCTGTAAGTCAGAATCAACTCCATGGCAATTGGTTAGGATTTTTAAATTTTAGGATTAACATTTTAAACTAAAAGTCTGTTATTTAAGTTCCTACAAATGGTGGTTTCAACCTCCCTTACTGCTTTTATTTCCCACGCCTCCCTAACACACAGTCTTTCCCTACCATTCCTTCATGTCTTTAACATTGCTGCTCCTGGCCTCCTATGCAGAGAGTTTTACTTTTTGGCCAACCCAATTCTAATTGTTTCATTAAGGCCGATTTCTTTAGTGGAGTCAGTAATCTTCCCTTTCTTTTAATTCCTATACAAATAATCAGAGTCCACACAATAAGCCTCTTACCTAATTCCATCTCATTAATATCATAAGTGGAATAGAAGGCAGAGTATGCAAAAATTCTCAACCAGCATTAATGATTACAAATATAAAAATGGGTATGTTATGTATTGCATTTTCTTTATTATTTTGTATTTCTCTGCATACCAAAATAAGCCACTGTTTATTGATTTTTGGGGTAGAGGATTCATCTGTATTTTTAAAATTATTTTAGAAGGTTTAAGAAGAAGAGTATTAAAATAGGTTTTCTAGCTCTGGGCAACTTCTGATGTCTGAAGAAGATATCTGGATAAAAGCATATGAACTGTCATTAATTAATATACAGGGGGCTTCAAAAGGTTTATGGAAAATGGAATTGGAAGGTAATGGAAATTTTCCACAAACTTTTTGAAGCCATGTCGTGTGGCTAGTTTTGGCAAATATTCAAGAGTAATGCTATATAAATGTTGCTAGTGTAGCTTAACCATTGATGAGTAATAGTCTCTGAAGAGACTATTTTTCAGTCATGAAACGAATGTCAATGTTAGTGTTAATAAGCTGAGCAGCATTTGAAGGAAAACTTCAGATTTTACTTTCTCCCTTTTAGAATCTCTAATTGCTGCTTGAACTCTGATTCGAATACCTTCTTCAGAGGAAGACCACAATTAGAGGAGTAAACGGGCTTCATGTGGCAACAGTAAAGTGGTACTGTCCTATGCCATCAATCTACTCAATATTGTTCTCACTTGTACCGACTCCAGAAGAGAGTTTCCCAAGAAATGAGTTTCAGGCTATCACTACTGTCCATTTGTCATAACCAGGGTAAAAAAAATCCATTATATTACAAAAAGATCCTATTCTCCAGTGTTTGCTAATTATGACTGAGACCAGAAACATACAAAGTTTCAAAGAAAACAACTGAAGGGAACATCTGAAAGCAATTTTCCCCATTCTTTGTTGTTTTGAGACTCACGGCAAATCTTCCAAACTGGAGGCTTCATGTCTTGGATCCAATAGATCATAACCACATTCATTGTAGATTTCCAAATAGGAAATGTGTGTTGTATATATTTTGCTGCTGTCCTGATTGGAAAAGGGAAAGACATTGTTTAATGGCTATAAATAACAATTCAGTTTAGAGGAAGATGAACACATTTATCACTGTAGCTTCCTCATTGTTTCTTTCCTTTTCTCTGTGACGTTGTATGGTTTACATTTTCAGTTCGTGACACTTTCAAGCTGCAAGTTACCATATGCATAAATCTTTTTTTTTTTAATTCCAATAGCCAACACCCATGATTACAAGAAACCTCAGTCTGTTATTTTTCATTTGTTCCATGTTATGCATAAAAAGTCAATATATGCTTACAATGAACCAACTTGTTTGCAGAATTGCATACTACACCATTTTTGCTTTCTAGATTCAAGAAGGTGGGTTTACTATAAAGAAATAAGTTTACATTTTGTGAATAGTCTTCATAAAAGAACACAGATCGCCACTTTAATTTTAAAACTACAGTAACTAAATAGTGTCCATCTTTAATCAAAATTCTTTCTTTAGTTTTCTAATATTCAGAGAAATAACGATGGAAGAGCATTCCAGGGTACAGAAAATAGTTTAAATAAGTTAGGCAAGAGTAAAAATGGATATTAATTGCTCTGTTGGGTTATTTTTCTTGGTCCAAGTAGGCAAATCAGGAACACAGGGCTATTGGCTAGACAGAGGTGTTTTCTATGGGTCATTGCGGGCATGTAATAACATAGGCAACAATGTAATGGGGCTAAATAAAGGTTAAGGTGACAGGTCCTTGTCTCAGTTCCTCCAACAGACAAAAGGGACCCACCCACTCCTTGTCAGACAAAATAAATCTGGAACTTTTATTCAGCTTTTGAGAAATTTCTGGGCTCAGCTATTAGCACATGCAGACACACAAAAACACCTTTTTCCTCCTGAACTACAAATGCTCCCATCTCTGCAAATTTCATCCTGTTCCTCCCTAGAGAACAGTACAGTGGCATTTATTGCAAGAAGGCTGGCAGGCGGTCATAGTGGCAACTAATGCAGAGGATTTACTTAGGCTGATTCCTGATTGATTCCCACCTGGATTCGAGACCACCAATTCAACAGGTGCTGTTCAGGAGAGAGGAACAAGTCATCGAGAACAGAGGCCTGCAAATCCAAAGATACAGCCCTGCTCTCACCAGTTGGGAACCCTTACCATGTCACATGCCTTACTTCCTACACCCTTAAAGTGAGAAAGCTGGATAATGAATCCCTAGGTGTTCCTCAAGTTTAAATAAATATGACCAATATTATCTACAACTAATAGTGTTGTTGTGGTTAAGTGCTGTTGAGTCCGTTCCAATTCATAGTGACCCTGCACAGGGTTTCTGAGGCTGTTCACCTTTGTAGGAGCAGAAACCCTCATTTTTCTCTCATGGAGCTGTTCAAATGGCCAGCCTTGTGGCTGGCAGTCCAGTGCTTACCTTACGGAGTCATCATCCTCCCCACTAATAATATTACCATTAGTAATACGACTCTCTGATTTTAACAAACCACCTACATATGTTGCCATAGCATGTTGTTGTGCTTGTTAAGTGCCATTGAGTGGGCTCCCACTCACAGAGACCTTATGTAGGGTTTCCAGGAAGTGGCAGGTGGATTGGAACCGTCAACCTTATCGTTAGGAGTCTAGTACTTATCCTACAGCGCTACACCAGGACTCCATACAACAAAGTAAATGTGGGATGAAGACAACTGTCATACAGCACATGACTATAACACAGCACTGAAACCACAGCTGAAATTCCATGTCCTGGTATTCTGTTTGGGTGGCAACGTGACCTGAAGCTCTGCTGAACACATTTCTATCAATGAAACACTGGAAATCCTGCAGGCCTGCATGAACAATGATTGCTTATCTTGACCAATGGCCTGTGACTTACATTGTTGTTAAATAACGACCCTGTAGAGGGTTTCCAAGGAGCGACTTGTGAGCTTGAGCCACCAACCTTGCAGTTCAAGCTGACTTTGCAGTCTAGAGCATTAACCCGCAGCAGCATCATTTAAGAAAACACAACAACTAGGGGGGAGGCTTGCAGGGTGTGCCTTTTGGTTGTTTGGATGATTGTATAGCCCTGAATGTATGTTTGGATGATTGTATAGCCCAGAATAGATGCAGGTACTGCTGAATGATGAAGCATGGAGGTGACTGTAACCATGGCAATGAAACGAAATACGATAGGGTGAATGTAAAGCTGATGTTTTCCCATGTAAACGATCACATAACTCACAATAAAACATTAAAAACAACAACAACAACAAAAACCCAGAGGTAATAGACGTAAATACTGCTGAATGATGAAGCATGGAGGGGACTGTAACCATGGCAATGAAACGAAATACTATAGGGCGAATGTAATCCTGATGTTCTCCCATGTAAACTATCACTCAATTCACAATAAAACAATAAAAAAAAAAACACCCCAAAAACACAACAAAATGATGGGAGCTGTAACTCGGCTGAGAGCAGTATCAAAGACAACATACTTTCTGTGACTGTTACTCCAGAATGTTTCCAAAGACATCCCATGAAATGCTCCTGGAAAAAGGGAATTCTAAAAGGAGCTCTGGTAGCATAGTGGTTATGAATCGGGCTGCAAACCTCAAGGTCAGCAGTTGGAAACTACCAGCTGTTCCACGGAAAAAAGATGAGATGTCCTGCTCCCGTAAAGATTTACAGCCCCGGAAACCCTGTACAGAGTCGCTGTGAGTTGGAACCGACTCCACGGCACATAGCAGCAGCAGGAGTAATATGGTATGGTGCTGTGGGCTAATGTGTCAGACTGCAAAGTCATTTGAACTGCAAGGTCGGTGGTTCAAGCTCACCAGCTGCTCCTTGGAAACCCTATACAGGATCGCTATAGATCGGAATCGACTCGACAGCACTTAACAACAACAATATACATTATGGAGTCCTGGTGTGGCATTGTGGGTTAATGCGTCAGATTGCAAAGCCGTTTGAACTGTAAGGTCGGCAGTTCAAGTTCACCAGCTGCTCCTTGGAAACCCTATACAGGGTCACTATGGGTCAGAACTGACTCAATGGCACTTAACACCACCAACAACAATATATACTAAATCCCTGTCCTGAATATTCTCAGTGCACGTCAAAGGTCCAACAAGGGCATTCTCTATCAACATCATGATTTCCTGCCCAATGCAAGCATTTCTAAAACATCAGTTTTGAGCTGATCCTAGCTTCAGAAAGAAATAGCGCTTTGAAAACTGGATCTGCCATTTGTAACTGAGTGTGCTTGTACCCTTATCCTCAGTTGTTTGATCATGAAAATGGGGATAATAACCCATAACTTGCAGAACGGACTGAGAAATAAGGTTCTGTGAGTCTCTGGGTAATACACTCAGATGCTACCCAAATGACTGGAGATTTGAGTCTAGTGAGAAGTGCCTCAGAGGAATGGCGTGGCAATCTGCTTCCAAAAACCAGCCACTGAAAACCCTGTGAAGTGCAGTTCTACTTTGACCTAATGGGTCACCGTGAGTCAAATCTGACTCAATGGCAAATGGTTTACTTCAAACCCTAAAAGACTGTGTGACCCATAACAGGCAGCAGCAAATGGTTGCTGTTGCTGTTGATGCTGTTAGTATTATTCCTGAAAGCCTCCATAAGGCGAAGGTTTGAATACAGAAGGCGAAAGAAAGGCTGAAAGAAAGGCCAACTTGCATGTCAGTCTGCAATGGCGACCCTGTCTTCTTTCAGAAATTAGAAGCAATCATAAAAACTCAGGAAAATGGTTGGTCCACTGCTCTGAGAGGACGGGAATAATACCTTTGGCTCCCCCAGCTTCTGCATTTTCTAGACTTTTATTGGAAGACACACTTAAAATTCACTGAGCTATGTGGCAAAGCTACCTTTTCCTTCTTATTGCTTTTTCGTGTTTAGGACTGCCAGACAGTAATGTAACACACATGTTTCCTGCAGACAGCCTTTTCTTCTGCCCCAAAACAAGTTTGAACCTCACAATACTCAAAAGTAATGAGCAGTGATTCCTAAAGTAAATGGTATCAATTTTCTTCTCTTGAAACCATTGAAAATGTGCTCCTATCAGACTCACATACATTTCAGGCCCAGTATTATCTTGAAGTAAACACTTGACATATGTCAAATATTCCCGATTAGAATTCTAGAGCACTCCTTGTGTCCCTCTCAGGTTGTCAGCTGGGGTCTCTGAGTAGCAGCCTGCCTTTTCCAGCTATACAACATGGACAGACTTTCGGATACTTGCCACGTTGCTTCTGACTTGTTTCATCACAGTTAAGTTGGATTCTAATGAATGTGCTGTGCGCGGTTGTGGAAAGCTATCCACTTAGGAAGAGTTTCCCTGGCTCTCAATTGTTCTGATGGGCTCTCTCCAAGCCCAGGAAGTTATTTAGTATCTTTCAGAATGAAAGGGGGTTTAGACTAATGCCAATGACAAACAGCTTTAAAACAACGAACCTAACAGATGGTCAGTATTTAGGAGAGTAACCAAAAACGAAATTTAAAAAGGGACAAGTAAAATACTTTCCATTGGGAAAGGTTTGGTTTTATTCAGTGAAATTTAATTGGGGGAGAAGTGACTTCATTTGCTCTGAAAGTTCAAAGGCTTCCCTGAATCAGTCAGTAATCATTTGGCAGATCCTACTCATTGCCATCCGGTTGATTCTGACTCATAGAAGAACTACTCTGTAGGGTTTCTGAGACTATAAATCTTTCTCTCGAAGAGCAGTCAGTGGGATTGAACCAAGATCTTGTAATTAGCAGCCCAATGGTTAACCCACTGTGTCACTAGAACACTTTCACATGCAGACATACGGGTACTAATGACTGTAGTAATCACTATCATGGATTGAGCATCTATGGTGTACCCAAAAGTGGATGATATCTTTGACTACAGCATGTTCAGTCCTCAGAGAAACCCCACAAGACTGAAGCATTAAATAACAGTCCCAAAGTCACATTGTGTAAGTAGTACACCTTCTCAGTACCATGTCTGCCTGCACCAACTTCAACCATCTTCCCCAGACAACAGACTTCCATATTAGTCCCCAACAGCAAAAACTATTGAACATTGTATTCCCTGTTTGTGGAATCTGAGAATAAAACAAAACAGATAATTTCTGAAATAAATGAGCAAATGAAAGAAGGGCTTTGGAGCCAACATATACACTACACTCGAGTCTTTTACAAATTTTCTGGCATGCAGGGTTGGCATGCTTGAGCCAGGGAGAGATGAGCTGAACTAATGGCTAATTACTACTTTATGGATGGAAATTAGAAGTATGCAGATCTCAGCGATTTCTTTTCCTCTTTTCCAACTCAAAATGCAAACAGCTCAGAGTTGAGAATTCTGAGGTGACTGTTACACTGACCTAGTTAGAATATTTGTTATACGGATTAGAACAACCAAAGGCTTGTTGGAACTAGTAGGCACACTGGAAATCCTCTAGTAAAATGCAGTCCCTGCTTTCACAGAGAGGAAAACAGAGACCCAGAGAATTTCAGTGACTCACTGTAGAGAATTCATTCACATGCAATGAGAAAACGAAGCCAGTCTGAGATACAGAGCCTGCAGATGCAGTGGTTAAAAAAACAACAACAAAAAAAACCCCACAAAAATAAAAGCAAAACCAAAGACTATGGCATCAGACCAACCTGAGATGGTACTCCACATCAGGTCCTTATACAACACGGACCCAAGAAGGACACTTAGCCTGGAACTCAAATGCTGTATCTATAAAACACAGCTATGTGTAATGTGTATCTATCTCATTCATTGTATTAAGTGCTGCATTCAATGCTGAAAAAGGAGCAGGTACTTGTAGGCACTCAATAAGTTATGCATGTAATACAGCTATGGAACTCCTCTTTAAGGTAATATTAATTTCTGTAGGAGTTTTACTCTAGTGAGCCTCTGGATTTCGATGAAAAGCATGAAAAGGGAACAATCATATTATCCTATTCAGTGCTTAATAGCTAAAGAAAGCTCTGTTTGGCAAACAGCTATTCCTCGGATTCCTAATGAGGACTGTAAGACATTAAGTGGTAAAAGGTGTCATATGCTCCTTTCCCCTTGTGGGTGTATCAGAAGGAATGCCCCCTGAACCTTTGCTGAAACAGCAGCCCTTAATGAGAAGCACCTTCTTAATTTCCACTTCATCAGCAAAATCCCAAACTTTACTTAAATGTAAAAGCTGGAGCTATTTCACAGTAATTCTTCCTCTTTTAGGTACAATATAATAAAATGTCATGATAAATTTCCTAACTACTGTAAATTTCTGCTGACTATATTAAATATAAAAATGAACTTAAAGCGTCATACCTTTTGTAACTGCTCAAAAATGTAAGATAATGTCCTTGGGATAATGCCTCTATCGCTGTATCGTTCCGCTCCGCCAGTGATGGTAAATGTCTTCCCGCTGCCCGTTTGTCCATATGCAAAGATGGTACCGTTGTAACCTGCCAGAACACTGCAGTAGAGAAATGGCGCACTTGTAACATCCAAAGGGGTGATTGCATTTGTATTCCATGGCTTATACTCTAACAAACAGTCTTATTTGTTGTTTTTGTTATTAAGTGCCAACCAATCGGTTCCAACACATGTCCATCACGTATAGGGTTTCCAAGGAGCAACTGGTGGATTCGGACCACCAACCTTCCAGTAAGCAGTCTAGTGTTTATCCTGCAGCACCACACCAGGACTCTGACAGTCTTCTCAAGCACTAGTAAAAAGACACCATTCTGTAAGAATAAGGAGCTCTGGTAGCATAGTGGTTACAAGTCGGGCTGCTAACCTCAAGCTGGTAGTAGTGGGAGGTGCTGGGGAAACATGTCTCTACTCTGGCACCTGGTACCTCGTGTGATGAATACACACAGCAGTGGATTCCTCCTAGACCACAAGCCTCACACTCTTTGCCACTATGTACTCTGTAATGTAATTCACTATTCAACAACAAGCGTCACTGGAATCCTCTAAGAGTTCTTCTCCTCATCGTTCCTGGAATGAATGACTGTTTGGGATGATGCTGGTCCAGATGTGCTCCTCAGCCCTGCGGTGCAGACTTGGATTTGATGGTGGTCTTCAGAACCCTGGACCGCCTCAGGCTTTGTAGACCACTATCATTTAGAAAGGCTTTGAAAAATGAGCATGACATGATGCAGACTTTCAAAAGTGAGTCTTTTATCTATACTGTAAGAAACAGCAAACTAGGGCAGCTTCACTTTCTTCTTTTGTGATACAAGTGGCTCCTTGATCTCAGATGTTCTCATCAAACCAGCTGTGGTGACGTCAGCTAATGGTACCCACGTTGTGATCAACTTTTTGATAGATGGCACCTCAGAGAACCACCTCTTTCTGTACCCGATGAGATTCCTGCTCTACTACTTCTGCTGAAATGCTGTCCTGCTGTTCTCGATACATTTCATTATGCTTTTGTGTCTGCATGTTAAATGAACTAGTGCCATGATGCCACCTCAAAACATAGAGGTTTTGGGTAGAACTCACTATGCAGTGGTTAGTTAAATCCTCAGCCATTTATGCAAATTCAAAATGAACAATAATATCTTTGGTAATCAATTAATGACTCTTCTGTTATGTAGGTATAGTTGGTGATTGCTCTTGTTGTTAAGAGTTAGGGGTTCCGACCCATAGTGACCCTGCACAGGGTTTCCGAGGCTGCAAATATTTACGGGAGCAGAAAGCCTCATCTTTCTCCCACGGAACAGCTGGTAGTTTCGAACTGCCGACTTTGAGGTTAGCAGCTCAAGCTGCTACCACTACGCGACCAGAGCTCCTTTAGTTGGTGATTACAAAGGTCTTAATAAGTAAAAAAAAAAAAAAAAAAATTAAACCTCTCAAAAAAGGAGAGTTGAGCCACACAGTAGAAAACTATTTTATTCACTACCCTATTCACTACCTTATTAAGACCTAGTTGGTGATTACAAAGGTCTTAATAAGGTAGTGAATAGGGTAATGAATAAAATAGGATTTCTACTGTGTGGCTCAACTCTCCTTTTTTGAGAGGTTTAATTTTTTTTTTTTTTTCTATGCATCTACACATGGAGACAACAACACACTGTTGAAATGGTCCACCTGTAAGATGTTGGAACCACCATGATGAAGATATGATCTGGGTGGTCGCAGAATCTTTCTCCTAAACAGAATTTGTCACCAATGATGTAGCAATGCCCCATTCTCCACATCAATCAGATATATGATATTGCTTGGTCATAAATGATTTAGGTAAATGAATTAAGCATCAAACCTTAAATGCTTATTGCTTTTTGATTGGGAACGTTCTAAAACATATTAGGCATTCCCTGATTTAAAAAGAAAAACATACAGAGCATGTGGTAGCATTTTCCTTATGGCTTAGACACAGTCTACACACAACGTGTGTACAGAAGCATGCTGCAACATGTTGTTTGATAACTTTTTACACTGAAATCTTCCTTCTCACTCTCAGCTGTCTGAGTATCCCTGCCTCTAACATGAGCTCCTCTTCAAAGCCAGATGGCAAGGTTTCATAACCCGCTGTATAAAATACACAGATACAGGTTCCGCCCATACACATCACCATGGCTATTTATTTATTACATTTCTACAGTTTGAAAAATTAGATTGAGGAATATAAACAGGAAACATTTTTCTCCAGTATCGTCCTACAGTAGGAGCTCTGGTAGCGTAGTGGTTATGAGTCGGGCTGCGAGCCACAAGGTCAGCAGTTTGAAACTACCAGCGGTTCCACGGGAGAAAGATGAGGCGGTCTGCTCTCATAAAGATTTACAGCCTCGGAAACCCTGTGTAGGGTCGCTATGAGTAGGAACCGACTCCACGGCACATAACAACAACAAATCTTCCTACAGTACCCCACAATTATAACCTAATGTAGTGCCCTCTCTCCATGGGGCACTCGGCGTTTTCATGGGCTTCTAGTTTCATATGCCCTAAAAGGTTAATGCGCTTGACTGCAAAGTCAGTTTGAACCTCAAGGTTGGTGGTTCAAGTTCACCAGTCACGCCTCGGAAACCCTATACAGGGTTGCTATAGGTCGGAACTGACTCTGAGGCATTTAACAACAACAAAAAGGAAAATACTCTGATGAAAAATAAAGGAAGAGGAGTGATAGAGTATGAAACTCAGAAAATCCACTATTCCCTTAAAATAGTGAGAGAACACTGACAAAAATGGTCAAAATCAAGGTTTTCAGAAATTATCCTGGAATTTTTCCAAAGGCTCCCAACAAGCTAGGAAGTGTTTACTTAAGAAAAATGATCGACGAGCTAAGCCCTACATCGTTCAGCAAACTACTGTGAACCCGGATGGAGAACTGGTCGGCCAGTAGCCAGGCAACATCTGGGGACTCATGGGCTCAGAGTCAGTGACACAGCCACAGAGGTCTAGAGTGGAGAGTGGGGCGGTCAGCCGATAAAAGAGGCCAGACAGACGTAAGAACACCCACACTTGCAGACTATGCCCATTTGACTGGACTTCAATGACTGGATAAACAGAGCTCAACTCTAAGAAGAAAGAAGAGGAAAAAAGCATCATCTGATACAATTCATTTATACACCTATAAATGCAGTAGCTCAAAAGAGGAAACAAGTCCCTGCTGCAAGAACTATACCCACCCTCTCCACACAAAGGGTAGACAGGGATGGGCAACTTGGACATTGGCTACCCAAAATGGGGGGAGGGATACAAAGGCAAGAAGTGACTGGCTTACAAGCTTTCAAGAGGGAACCTAGATCCAGAGGGCGTGGAGGAAGGTAGAGTCTCCAGTGAGTGGTGTCCAGCCTGTCCAGGAAGGGCTGATGAAACGAAATACAGATGGGTCTCTTGTGATACAATAGTGAATAATTGTTATCAGGACTGATTGTGAGAGTTGGAAATCTAAAGATGGACATTTTGTAGCAAAGAGGGGAGTGATTAATTTATCAGTCTAGGAGCGGAGGACCCTGGGACCATTAATGGAGAAGAGCGAAGAGCGGAATCCTACCCAGAGAGGCAATGAGGCCTGGGATGGAGACAGAGAAGACAACGTCAAGAGATGGTGGGGCTGGGGGCTCGGGAGATGGAAAGGGGCTGAGGACTATGGTGGTGGTGGTGGTGGTGCAGGTTTACAGGGTACATCCCTTGGTTGGGTGAGGATGCATGGACAGGATGATAACTATGCCAACGAAATGATGGATGATGGAATGAATGTAAAGCTGATGTTCTCCCATGTAGACTATCACACAATTCACAATAAAACATTAAAAAAAAAAAAATCGAATCTCAGTAAAAAAAGTGAATTTTGTGGCGTTCTGATGATTCCTCTTTCCCTTGTTCAATGGCAGTCGTGTACAACAAAAACCTACCAAAATCCAAGCCACTGCCGTCAAGTCGATTCTGATTCACAGTGACCCTAAAGGACAGGGTAGAACTGCTCCATAGGGTTTTCAAGTCTGTCCATCTTTACAGAAGACGATAGCCTCATCTTTCTCCCAGGAGACAGTTGCTGGGTTAGAAGTGCTGATCTTCTGGTTAGCAGCACTTAACCCACAGCACCAGCAGGGCTCCCTCTCCAGACTACAACCACAGCAGCTATGAAAATCAGCAGCTTAGCAACCTAATAGTCTTTTCAGTCCCAGCAGCCACAGGAGTGGGCAGAACAGGCTATGAGCCCCTCAAAAGCCCCACAGAATTTTTACACGATTTGATCTCTCTGGCAATGCTCTGGAAAAGGCCCAGTCACAGAACTTGTCTTTTGTGTTGGATCTGACTCCACTGATTCAGTGCAAATAGCCTTATACTCAGGGAGTTTGTGGCAAACAGTCAGTAGCTGTTTAACCTCACAGCTGCTTGAGGCTGCAATATCAGTGAGGCACATAGGATGCTGACCAAAAATTTAAAACAAAAATATTCAGAATGAGATATCTGTCAGGGGCTTTAAAAACCTCTACCATATCCTGGGACTCTAAAAGACCACGCCAATGTGCAGGGTTATGCACATGCCAAGGAGAGACTAAGAACGTCCTTACACATCACACCTGGCTTGACGTTGAGGCTCTCTGTACAAGAAGAAAGTGAAGGCTAAGGCAGAAGTTTCCAATTGCCAGAGAGGTTAAGGAACACAGAGGTGTTCTCAAACACACACAGAGCCCTTCATCTAATTTTGGGAGACAGACTGGCTCAAGTCATTTAAGTAAGTAACTGTCCAATTATTATCTGACTACCGTGATAACTGAGCATTGATCCCAGAGAACATACACAGCAAAGAATACCAATTCTGTGGAATCAGTCCAAGATAGTCACAGCAGTAGCAGGAGCAACCGCACATCTTGAAAAACTGGGGATCTTACTTCCAAAGTCGCCACATCACATTAGCTAAAATGCCCAGTGTTCAACAATAACAGCAACTACAACAAAATGAAACACACCAAAAAACAAGAACATACTGCCCACTCACAGGTGGTCAGGGACTCAACA